TGGCAAACTCACATTTTAACATGTCGCATATTGCACGTTTGTCCTGGTCACATCAGTTGCTCTGGGATGTTAGCTTTGTCTGCAGGGGTTCCCCGGTGGTATGCAAGCCACTCCAGCAGCAAGCAAGCCCAGCTGGTCAGCTGAGCCCGCAACCAGTCAACCAGGGGCCTTCACATATGTGGTCTTGCTGGCATCAGGGACCACTTGGTTCCATCCAGTCTTAAAAAAGACCAGCTTTCGACCTAGGGGGAGAGATTAGAGTTTACAGATCTGGGTAACTTTTCTCTTGGAGGCAAGGTTACTTTCTATAAAGTGACTGCCTTGAAGGACATGTGTATACATCTTTCTCATCATCCAGGCCTGCCCTCTGCCTTTCCCGAGGGGGCTCTTCACATCTTTTGGAGAAGTATAGCCACTCTTTTGAGATAGCCCCTCCCTCTGGCTCACCTGTCCAGGTGGTCTGGTTGGTGACCACAAAGGCACGACACTGAGCATGGCTCTCACAGACATCTACAGCCTCAGCCAGGCTGAACACAGACAGGAGGCAGCCACCATGGTGGTAGGATGGCCAGCAGCGATAGTCCTCCTGTATGATGGTACTGTCCAGGATGCGTTGGTACTCTAAGAGTTAAAGGGAAGACAGTGAGAACTGTGTGCCTAGGTGAAGGCTGAGGACCGCTCTGTGCATACGGATTGCAAGACTCATTTGCTAGATGAAAGCTGACATCCAGGCCTGCACACCCAGCCTGGAAATGAAAGCAGCCAGAGCTGTTCAAGCTCACTTGACAGCCAGGCAGACTTGGATCTGAGGACAGGCACATCTCTTAGATTTAAGACCATGCAGCTAGTATCAACAGCATAGGACAAATGGGGGCATATGTGAGCCAGGCACGACCTCCGAGATCCCAGCTGTCTGTGCTGGGCTTGGAGGTCAGGGCACTTTAGACATTTAGAACAGGGCTTCTCAAATATCGTGGTACGTATGAATTTCCCTGCAGTATTATCACAATGCAGATACTGATTTGGGAAGGCCTGAGGTGGAGCCTGCGGATTCCTGACTCCATTCCAGTCCTGCCCATGTGTTGCAAGGGTTCAGAACCCCTCAGACATACTTGGTCCTGACTTTGGGGAAAGGCCAGCTAAGCTTCTAAGATAGACCTGGGACCCCAGTAAAGGAGTTTGAGGTTAAGAGGCATATAGGCTAACACAAAATGCCACAACTCCGGGTTCAAGGGTCTGAGAAGGGTTGAGACCTCCCTGTGGTTCAGAGCCGCAGAGGCTCTTCAAGAGGCTGAGAGGTGGGCCTCAGGCTCACTGATCTTTCCCACTGCGCTCTCTCTGGAACCCCAGTTGCTGACTGATAATGCAGAAGCCCCGGGCCTCCGGGCCACCCCACCCTCCTGCCTCCTTCTCCTGCCAGGGACTAGACCAAAGTCCAGGCAGGGTTGCCTATGATTTATGGCCCCATAAACAGAGTCCTCAGGGACAGAGCCGGCCATTGTTCACCTCGTTAAACTTTATTTACAGGGCTAACGAGGGCTCCCCCACCCCTAAGGCTGGTCAGGCCTCCTTGAAAACAGAGGCTCCCACCCCTTACCCCCCAACCATTGCTAAACCCTTAGGCTTCTGTAGATAGACCATTGCCTGTAACGGTAGCTGTAGTTTCCCCATCCTGAGGAAGCAGCTTCTTGGTTGGTTTCAGAGTAGGCTAGCCCTCCTCCGGCTGGCCTCCATGCCCCAGGAGTGCAGAGGAACGAAGAGAATGTGTATTGTGCTCCAGCTGTGCAACAGGAACTATGCTAACTGCTTCCACACACCTTGTAGGCTAGTTAATCCCCATAAGACATTTGCTCGGTGAATTATTTTGAACCCAATTCACAGTTGAGGAAACCGAGGTCTCAGGGGTAAGTAAGTCATACAGCCAGCTCCTGGAGGGGTTTGAAGCCATTCTTAGAGAGGGTGTCAGTGCTCACTCAACTGCTCAAGGCAAATGCTAGCTGTTTTCGGTCACTCAGAGACAGGACTTCAAAGAGAAGTGTGATCCCATGTGAGCCCACAGTCTTGAAAGAAAGGGTAAGCCATAGCCCAGTGGGTGGGGGTCACTCACTCTTAACCCTGCTCCCACCTGCCCCACCCCCGTCACTCACCAGCCCCGCTGCTTGTAGAGTTCTGCAGGTACTGCCCACTCCGGAACAGGTGCAGCACCGTCTCCAGCTGGGCCAGGGTCTCATCCACCCCCCAGGCGAGTTCCCCTGCAAAGTGCAGTGTCATGATCACCACATACCTGCTCCCTTCCTCCCACAGGAAGCCGAGGGTCCTTACCACAATAATATCTTACAATATAAAGGGTCCTAGACCTTGCACATCCCAGGGTCATTCTTGTCCCCATTTCTGATAGGGCAGGGGCAGGTGATGAGAGGCAGACGGGTCCTGAGGCTTACCTGTGGCATTGACGATGGCATCCAGGAGAGGCCGGAGGGAAGGTGGGGCACTATGTGGCAGGAGGTATGTGAAGAAGAACCTGTGGCAGGGAGGAGGCAGGGGCTCAGGGGCCCAGCCTTTGGAACTGTATCCCTTTCCTTTCACTTCTATTCACCACACTGGACTTCAATGTGGCCTGGGAGAATCTTCACGCAGGTACCAGACATGCCTACACTACTTAGCTGTGAGTCATGAGGTTGGGCTCAGAGGTCCCGTTGTCTATCCATCCTCATCTTCCAGGCCACAGTGTCCTCTGCCTGACCCCGGCAGTGGAACAGCCCCATAGTTGGGGCTCCTCAGCCGTGAGGAGCTTTGTAAAGGTCAAGAGCTGGGGTGGAGAAGGCACATGCCAGTCCTGGCAGTCCTAGGCCCTGAATATGACTCTATTTTAAGAAGCCTCCAGCTGCCCCTCCAACCTAGCTCTCCTTAGCTCTCTATTTTTAGCTCCATGGTCACACTCTCTCCTCACTGGGCCCCTGCGGTTCCATGGGTCAAGGTTATTCTCCCCATTGGTCTTCTGGCCCCAACGAGGCTCTTACGCTGCCAGTGCCCTCCTGGGCTGGAGTCCCAACATGTATGGTCATTACCTGTAGGCATTGTAGAGGTTCCGTTTCTCATTCATGCCCTCGCACCAGCCCTGGGCTGAGCAGGGCAGGCTGAAGTTCCTGGCTGGAAACTCTAGTATGCAGTCGGCACCACTAGTGCACGGTGTCTCTTCCACGCGGGCATCATCCAGGTCCGTCACCTTCAGCTCCCCGTCCACTAGCACGAACTGACGAGGGCGGAAGTCAAGCAGAGTGACCGAGCCCAGAGGGGAGTGGGCTAGGTGGTGGAGAAGGCGGCCAAGGCTGAGGCAGATCTGAGGGGAGACACATAGGTTGGGTCAGGCCTGCTGGACTCACGGGCTCTGGCTTTAGCTAGGAGGCTGGCCTTTCTCTTTTCTGGTCCCAGGCCGTTGGAAAGGTCATTGATCTCCATAACCATTAGGAGTGAGATAGCAACAAGAATGTAGGATAGAATCACTTTCCTTAAGCCACACCTCAAATGTGGCCTCAGTTCAGTGTACTGAACTAGAGCATCGGTTCTCAACCTTCCTAATGCTGTGACCCTTTAATACCGTTCTCATGCTGACCCTGGACCTAGAAAATTATTTTTGTTGCTACTTCGTAACTATGCTTTTGTTACTGTTATGAACTGTAATGTAAATCTGATATGCAGGAAATCTGATATGCAATCCTATGAAAAGGCTCTTCTGATCTCTGAAGGGGTTCCAACCTTCAGGTTGAGAAGAAGCATCCAAACGTATGGAAGGTTATCTATTTGTGATCTCAGGAAACTGGGCTTCCTATACCAGCTGTGTAAAAGGTGTGTGTGTGTGTGTGTGTGAGAGAGAGAGAGAGAGTGTGGGCACACACTTGCCCTCATGAACACACGTGTACACTCACTCACAGGAGTGTGCATGTATGCTATGGAGAGCAGGAGAACAGCAAGAATACAAAAGGCCACGATCCTCAGTCCTGTTCTTTTTTTTTTTTAACCCTTTGGCCCATGGCCGAGCCAGTGTGTGCTCCTCCCTCCTCCCTCTCTCCCTCCCTTCCTGGCTGAGTTTAGGCTGCTCTGAGAGGTTGCCTTCTAAGGGAGAACCATCCCAACAAAAAGCCCAGGCCTGAGCCCTCCTCCCTGCTTACCCGGAATCGATCCTCCCAGGAAGTCTGCAGCAGCTGGATCATCTCCACAGGGGAGCCCAGCTCTGTGATGGTGGTCAGTGTGTCCGGGATGTCCTCACTGTCCTGGTAGCAGTAGCCATAAAGCTGGGTATACCCAGAGCAGGTCATTAGGTCACAGGGTAGAGGCAGGGACAGAGAAAGATTGGACGATCAGATGCCCTGCCCTCTGCCCTTGACAATCTCCCTCTGCCTTTGCTTTAGCTCAAGCCAGCAGAGAACAGTGTTGCTTGGGAAGTTTGCTTCTGCTCCTGAAGACTTAACTTCTACTGGCTTGGTGACATCAGTCCTTCACCTCTTGTTAATCAGCGAAATGGGCAGGCTTAGCCACCATGCACCTACCTGGCACTGTGCTAAACGTATTATGTGCTTAATCCAGTTCTTAATTTTAAACTTCATTTTAATGAATTATTATTGTGGTGTGTATGGTATGATTGAGAGTGTGTGTTGAGGTCAGAGGGCAACTCTCAGGAGTCACTTTTCTCCTTTCACTGTGTGTTCTAGGGAGGGAATGCAGGCCATCAAGCTTGGTGGCACGCACTTTTACCTACTGAGTTATCTTGCAGGTTTCTGATTCTTTCTGATTCTTATAATCGCCCTGGTGATGTGTGGCTTTGGTCAACATGCCTGATTTGGGGTGGGGGATTGACTCAAGGGAGATTAACTAGGTCATATAGCTAATAAACACAGAGCTGAAATTCACATGGATGTCCCCAGGATTTCACAATCTGGTTTTTCTGCTAATACAGGGCTCAGCCAATGATTATCTGATTCCCTTCTCCTCCCACAATCTGTGTGTGTTTCTCAGCTATCTCAACTCTCTAAAGCCGAAAGGCCCATCTGGTGTTCCTTGCATACATGTATAAGTGACATACATGGGAGATCCAGTGAGAGGCGGTTCTCAGGGATGGTAAGTTGCTATGCACTCTTTCCTCACCCTGGGGAGGGTCCCTGGTACCACCCGGCTAGGCACGGCAGAGCACAGGAAGCCTTTAACCTTAACATCCACTTCAGCATCCTCCTGGCCTGCTTCTCAATGTTTCTCCCAACACACTGCATAGCTCTGGCTTACAATGGGCTTCAAACAGCCAGCACCCTATGGAGCATGAGGACAAAGGCTGAGTTGTCCAAACCCTACAAGGGAAAGTGAAGACCTCTGTGGCGGAGGGTTGAGAAGGGAGACAGGGAGCCCATAGCTTAAATGTGCTGTATATAGCAGCTCCTCTTGCCAATACCCTCCCCAGCCTCCCTGCTTGCCTCAAACGCCCACTTTCCTCCCAGGAGCCTCAATCCTGTCCTACCAGAAAAGCTGAACTCAGTGTTGGTCTACCAGATTACCTGGGCTGTGCCTTGAGGAAGCAAGGGCTCCCCTGGGGACCCTCTTTTTCTCTCTCCCTCCATATCCCCAATCAGCCCAGGGAGGCCCCAGACTCAGGATGGGCTCTGGGGAAGGTAAAGAGAGCAGCTTGGGGCCTGGTTCTCATTTTCTTGCTCCAGTGTGAGCCTTTGTGGGAAACTTCTAAAGGTTATTAAACACCCGGAGGTCGTTAAATGCACTATTAACGAGGTATTAATCAACACCCCTCAGGAAAAAAATAAAAAGACACCATTAACTCCCCTTAACCCACCCCCAGGAAGCATGAAGCTGAGGACTGCAGTTGCATCTTTTGTTCTTTTGGGGAGAGAAATTCAGTCTAGCATGCTCAGAATCTGCAGCCTAGGCTGGCCTGGTGAGGTCCTAGGATGATGGGGTAGAGAGAGGGAAGACCCTGTGCCCTTTAACCCTGGGTGACAGAGACATCTATCCTGGGAGAAAGAGTATATGTGGAGGATAAAGAGTTTCAAAAGACAGAAGGATCCCCGGCAGTCCCCTGGTGACCGGAGCCTGTGCTGAAGGGCACAGAGGGCCTCCATGGCTGTCTCGCATTCACTAGTAGAGCCCACAGTGTAACTTCAGGCTGTCCAGAGATGAGGAAGGGGTATCAGGAGCCTGGGATACTTTAGAAAGTCCTCTGGCTCTTCCCTAGTACAGCAAATAGTCAAACATTTTGAAATTTTAAATGATTAGGAGGTATTAAAACAACGTGATGTCTAGTTCCTGGCACACACAGCTCTGAGGCCTTTTGGGCAGGAAGATCCACTGCAGGCTGTACTGGCCACAGAGGCAGCCTAACTCAAGAAGCCAAAGGGACATGGCCTGTAGTCAGAATATGAGAGGATCTCATCCTCAAAGCTGTCCCTAAGATATACTTGGGACTCCCACTTTCCCTAGGACCCTGAATACTTCTGTCCTAGGGGTGTTAGCTCCAGCCGCAGACTGGAAGTCTCACAAACAACTCTGAGACATGCCATGCTGGAGAGGGCATGGGTGAGACATGTTCCCTTGTAATGTCTTGTCTTTCTCTGGTGCTCTCATTACTGGGGGACAACATTACAGACAAGGAACACTCTGTGGGTCTGGTTGTAGGTGTAGCTAGATATTTGTGGAAATGTTTGGTGAGGCCATCGAGGTAGGATTCCCTATGGCTAGGAAGGCCCACTGAATGTCAAACCTGTTCTGAGAAATGGCCCTGAACAATTAACAAACACTTGAATGTCCCACTAAGTCACTTGGTCAAGGCTTCTCCATCCCCTCAGAATCTAGCTGGCACCTCAGGGTTTCCAGAAAGTTCCTAAGAACCCAGAAGAGGAAAAGAAAACAAGACCCTCCCAGTTAGAATGGCCACGTAACCAGACGCTCACTCCCTTAAGTTCTAGTCAGTGTTAGCCATGGAGCCAGACATAAACACACACAACCCGTGTTTGGGACCAATGCAGGGCCTAGGACCTTGACAGAACTTGTCCCAAGAGTGTGACTAGGACTGGGGTGGGGGGCATTAGTTCTAGGGAGACTTGCAGCCACTAGGAGTACAAGGAGTGTTCTGGCCTCTTCTAATCTCTATGGCCCACAGATCCCTCCAGGCCTTGGGGCCCACTTCTCACTGCAGAGGAAAGAAAGGATGGACTGGTGTGCTTCTGGTCAGCTCTTTGGGTATAGAAAAGTGAATCTGAGGGGCTGAGGTGAGTGGTATGGATAGCTGGGGGTTCTGAACACACTTATGTCACTCGGCCAAAAACAGTCAGGAATCCCCTTTCAGTCACCTCACACGTATGCCTAGGGAGTAAGTAGTCTGTCTTATCCAAGGCAGAGACCTCAGAGAGGGGGAAGTGGTTGTGTTTGGATGGTGTTGGCACTGTGAAGGTCTGCTCTAAATGCAGCCTTGGATGGACAAGGTGTGGGGACATCCTTCCTGCCTGTGTCCCCAGTGAACAAGGACAGAGTTTCTCACTAGGAAAGTATGCATCTGGCTTTTTGAACCGTCTAGTCTCTTGGCTAAACACACTCAGAAGAGTGTGGTATTCATATTAGCAGACCTTGAGTCTTCTAGCCTAAGACCCCGAGGCTTCCCCTGTGGTTCAGCTGGAGCCACTTGACGTCCCAGGAAAGACCGTAGTCACTTCTGGGAAAGGCTGTGTATTTTCTGGCCTCTTTTATTCCTTCCAATGGCCTGTGAGCCGGGTGAGAAATCAGGATCTCCCTGAAGATCAAGTCAGATACATGGTCTCTTTCAGCCCCTCCCATACCCACTGAGGCTTGACACCACCTCTAGACATGTCGCTGGACTTTGAAAGAAGAAGTGTGGTTCAGGCTCTACCAATATGCGGGATCCTATTTCTACATCTGGGAGCTGACCGAAGGTGGATGTTGGAGTTGGACACTAGCTCACTATGACTGGAGATAATACTCTCGTGTTCAACGGCCAGCTTTAGCCAGTAACAGGGTCCTCTGTGGTCACAGTTCCTAATCACTGCCTCATCACCAGTTTGGGACCCTTCTTGTCCTTGTCTTTAAGGGATGTGTGTGCTGGTACAGCGTCCTACCCAAAGGATGAGAGACCGGCCGGGAGGTGCTGAGTGGTTCCCTAATCTGGATTCTGCACCTAGCTGCAACTGGGCACCTTTGACACCCTGAGACTTACTCTGTAAGACCAAGGAGTCTTTCAGAGTGGCCAGCCAGCCCCCCCACATCCCGGAATCCCACTGTCGTACCTGCAGCACGTTGGGGTGCCGCAGCCGCTCCAGCAGCACCATTTCCTTGAGCAGCTTGTGGGCCGCCAGGCGATAGCAGCCCCTTCGCGCCCCGAACTCGCGCACGCAGCTTCCCAGATCGTGGCCGCTGAAGTCCACTGCTTTAAGCGCCACCGCAGCGCCGCCGGGCAGGCGGACCCGGTACACAGCCTTCGTGTAGCCTGAGCCCACGTATTGCGCGCCAGACACGTTGCGGAGCGCGGCGCAGCCTAGGCGCGGGCCCGGGCCGGGAGCAGGGGGCCAGCTCGGAGCGCCGTATTGCGGGGGCCGGACCCGCGGGGGCCGGGGACGCTGCAGGCCCGGCCCACCCGGAGCCAGGTCCATCAGGCGCCGCCGCTCCGGCCGGCCAGCTCCCGGCCCCGGCCCCCCGCGGGAATAGCGCTGCACCTCCTCGTAGCGCTCCCGGATCTGCCGGGCCAGCTCCCCACGGCCCCCGCGACGGCCCGGGCCCGGGGCTGCCGAGGACCCCGGGGACTGGCCTGGCCGCGGAGGCTCCGAGCCCGGTGCGAAGAGCACGTTGAGTACGGAGCCCAGCAGGAAGGAGGCGCAGAAACCAGCGGCCACGGCCGCCCGCCGGCGCCGCATCACTCCCCTCCCCCCCGGCCGGCCGCGCGCGGCTCCCCGGCCCCGGCCCCGGGCGGCTCAGGCTCCGAGGCGACTCCGCTTCGCGCCGCGCCGGCCCCCTGCCCAACCCGCGCGCATGGCCCGGGCAGCCCCGACCCCGGCCCCCGGCGGGCGGCACATCGGCCTGACACTTGCCTCCCTCCCGCCCTGCCCCCGCCGCTTATAAGGCCCCGAGCCACCCCCGCGCCCGCCCCTCCGCCAGCGCCTCCCCGCGCCCGGCCGAGCCAGTCCTCGGCGCCGCCCCCTCTGGCCGCCCGGGCCGGCCTTCCCCGCTGACTGACAGCGGGACCTCCTCCCGCGGCCAGCCGGGCCTGGGAAGCGGCGCGGAGGCGGCTCCGGCCCTGCCCGGCGCACGGCCCCTGAGCTCAGGCCGGGGAGCGGGGGAGGGGGCGGCGGCGCGCAGGGCTTCCAAGCCTGAGGCCAGGCTGGATAACGGGACCGGGAGGCCGAAAGCGGAGAGGGCCGGCGGGGAGCGGGGAGCGGGGAGTTGGAGGGGCGAGGCAGGCGGGTAACGGGCTCCGAGGGGCTAGCGGCCAAGGCCCAGGAGCGGAGATCCCAAGGGGACACGCTGCCTCCTGGGGGGCTCGGGGCTGCGGGGTGGTGCGCAGGGGTCCCTCGGTCTGCGGCTGAGGCTGCTCTGGGACAGCCCGGGTTCAGGGTGTGGTGAAGGGCGGCGGTCTGGGGAGGCTGCCCGGCACCTGCGAGAGCGCGATGGGTGGGGACTGTGGTCTCAGAGTTAATCATGAGGTTTCTGAAGAGTTCTTTTCAACTGCCTTCTACCAGGACTTTCTGATCTTCCTGGTCCCCGAATCCTCACTGCTCGGCAGCCGAGCTCCACCCCCATCCCGGATCTTTGACCCGACAGTAGGGGGTCGAACCGTTTACAGCGAGTGCCTTAGTGTCCACGCACGTCTGTCTGTGGAGTGTGTGCATCCTCAGGTCCTGAAGGGCTACTGTGTCCTAGGAAGGGAATGAGTGTGTGTAAGTTGGTACTGACTCCATCAGAACTTCTGGTCCCTCCTCCTCCCTCCCTGATTGCATCATTAGTGCTAATTGAGGGGCTTTCACACGCCAGTGCATTAGCTGTTTGGAGTGAGCTCCCCCCTCCTGCGAGATAAGCCGCTGCCCCTCCCCCTCATGGCTCTCCACTTCCCTAGAGCCCTGAAACTGTCCACCGAGGTCGGCTCACTTCCTAGAGCTCCCTCCTGCTTTCCTCTGGGCAGGAAAAACAAAAAAACAAACAAAACCCCCCAAAACTCTCTTCCTGCAGTGTCACGGATTGGGCTGAGGAGACCGCGTAGGGGTAAAGTTTAAGGGTTGGGGGAAGAATCCAGAACCTTCTTTCTGAAGGGCTTTCTAGGGAGGAGAGGTTTTCTCTTAAGAGGTCTCCTGTCCCTATCGAACGCAGGGCGGGCCTCCGCGATTAGAAAGGGAATAAAACTTGTGACTGGTTCTTTTGAAAGTGGAAGAGGAGGGGAGCAAATTTCTTAAGCTCAGCCTGTGATCGCACTGAGGTAGGCCTTCTGACTCTAACTTCTTGGTCCCCTAAGACTCAGAAAGTGGGGACCACGCTGACTTATTCGTCACGAGAAAGGTTGAAGGAAGCCATGATTCTCCCAGAGAGATTTGGGTGGGTTTGATGTAGCCTGCTCTCTAGGTCTGGTCCTGTTTAAGCTGCCCCGCCCAGCTCCGGCCCTTAGCTGCCGGGAGGGGGGGGGTCTGAGCAGATGCCCTCCCCAGCCCTCACACCAGATGTCTTTGGTCTAATTAACTGTGCTGGGAAAACCAACCTGGGTTTGTAAACATAGCTACCGGCTAAAGTCAACAGGGAACAGCAGCAAACAGTCCCCTTACACTAAGCGTCATCTAGACCCAGCACCCCAGGGAAGACCGGGAGCTGAGTGGATCAGAAATGCCTTGGCCCACAGATGAGTCAAAGAAAGACTGTCTGCCTGGGTGACCCCCAAATGACTGCCATTTCCTTGCCAGTTCTACAGGGTCTACTCAAGAAGTGTGAGGGCCAGCTTCTCAAGAAGAAGTCAGACCAGGATAGGTCTGACTTCTGGCAGTTTTACCTTAGAGAGGGCTGCACAACCAAACGTGTATGTCGGGGGGCATATTTCTTGAAAAGCTTTCTTCGGATCCTCTGCATGTTCATGTCTTGGAGAAGCTTCCCCGGGGAGGATTTGGCATTGTTGGGTGTCCGGCTCGGAGCTGGGGACTATAACGTGAACATTGTTAACTTCATTACACATCATGTAGGTATTATAATAACATGTTCTGAAATTAGATAATTATTCCTATGATATCTCTGCCAAGCTTTGGTGTTTCTGTTATGGTTTGAAAGTTCAGTGCACAACAAGGCCAGAGAAATAGGGAGAAATGTACAGACCTTGTGTACCCAGGAACCCTGAAAGCAAGGACCTCACAGAGAGAAACAAAGACCCTTCAATCGTGCTGCCTCGCATCTACTGTGTCCCTCAACCCCTAGTGAGACACACAGACGTACACGGTTGGAGGCAGAAAGAGGATTTTTGCTCCTAATAGAAAGAGATCGAACCTTTGAACCGATTAGAGTTTCTGAATTGACAGTCTTTAATTTTTGATTGTTTGCCTCTGTGTGTGTGTGTATGTGTGTACCACCCAGGAAGATGAGTTGTTTAAAAAGAACTGGAAAACAGGAACACTGTGCAGCCCTACTGTTTCTTCATCTGTGTTTTCCCAGCCACTCAAAGAAAGTCTAGGCAGGGCCTACACCACAGTCTGGGCCTCACAGGCCTTGTGTCCAGCTCAAGGTCCACACCACAGCCTGGGCCTCACAAGCCTGTGTCCAGCTCAGCATTGGTGATGCTTTCTCAAGACAGCGCAGACAGCAGCATCTTCTTGTTCCTACTCTTTACCAGATTCCTCACCACACAGAGAGCCTTCAGACTAGCGTTAACTCAACAAGGCTTCCTGCTTTAGACTTGCTATGTTTTCTCTCTTTCCCCTTCTTCCCAGTTCCACACACTAGTCAGGATACCAGTGCCTGGGAAGCCTGCCTAGATTCTAAAAGGTTACCTTTTCTGGGAAGTGTTTCATAAATACTTTCAAGACATCAGATCCTCCTGGCTTGTCCGTATCACAGAACTCGGTTCCTTCCAGCCCAGGTCCCTAACACCTCTGTTGGAGTATTGCTTTCCTCCTGAAACAACTGGGGGATGAACTGAACTGGTAATTCAGGCTTCCATGAGCTTCCACTAGCCCTCCATGCAGCCTGGCACCCCAACTTTCCATCCCCCAGAAGAAAGCCATACTCCCCAGCCTGAGGCAAGTGCTGTCACCTTGCTATCCTCTACTTCCTGAAGTGCCTTCTCCCAGTCCTCCAGTCCTTTCCTTTTTCTCAGCTGTGTGTGCAAGACTTTCCAGAAAGTAGTGATCTGGAGACAAGACTTCCATAACCAGAGTACACGGGACCCTGGAGGGTATAGTATTGGAATTCTGTGGCTTTATTTCCTTTAAGAAAATGTAAAGAACTCTGGATTTGGAGTAAACTACTCAGTCCCAGTTGACATTCTATAGGCAAGGTAGTCAACCCTTCTCTGTAGTAGGGTGAGTCCTTGGTGTGTGTAATACAGCATTAATTATAGCAAATAGACATGTTTGCCATGTTAGACAGCGTGGTAGGCTGTGATTCTTCCTCAAGACTTTACTCCTGGTTTTACTGGAGAAATCCCTCAGCCTTCCAGGCTCCCTTTGAATCTGGAACATTGTCCTTCCTCAGAATCAGTAGAACAGCAGTTCATCAGAAAGACCCTTCTCCACACTTCGATGAGTTACCAGAAGGACTGGACTCAACCTTCTCATAGCACAGTGACCAAGAGCCCCAGCCTCAGCTCTGTCCCCCCTTGGAGCCAGGTCCTCAGGGAGGAGGGCTGACTTTAAAAGGATGGAGGGTGAGGTGGCACAGCCTGCTTCCTTCACCGAACATTCACCTCCCTCAGGTAGGAAGTGAAGCTGACCTTTCTAAGTGACAAAACAGACAAACAAACAAACAAACAACCCCAAAACAAAACAAACAAAAAACAACAAATAAACCAAAAAACAAAGGTTGGATTTCTTACATACAGGACATACAGGATCCCCACATCAGAGTCCCCAAGATTATGGGAGATGGGTAAGGGGAAATGAGAAGGACTGAACAGAGGTGATTAAGAGGCAGAAACATGGGCAGATAAAAGCCTGGAATTTCAAGAGAGGCACTGAGACAAAGATGGAGAAAGCTGTGCTCAGAAGACTCCAGCTTTCTGGATACAAGCTTTGCTTCCTTGCATGGGGCTTTGCCTGGAAACCTGAGCCCCTTCAGCTCTTTGACTACATCAGAGAACAGGTCTCCCTCTCAAGCCAGGAACCGAAATGTTCTGAGGGCTCCTGGGGCTCCCATGCTCCCTCCAGCTTCTTATGTTGTTTCCCCAGCACCAGACTGTATTGGAATGGCTTCCCACTACAGTTCCTGACTAGGCCTAGTCTTGCAGCTGCCTCCTTCCAGCTCAGCTGCAGCCATGGCTCAGGATGCCTGGTCACAGTGATCTCTCTTTCCTCCATTTTTGGCTTTTTAAGATTGTAGCTGCTGTGACTGGACTCTGTCTGGTACATGTCACCTGAGAGAGGGTGTGAGGGGCTTAACTTGGGGGCTGGGACCCTGAACTGAACAGAGAAGCAGGGAGCTGAGAAGGGAAATCAGTAAGGACCAAGCTCCAGGGCTTCTGCTTATCCTGGGTTGATGGAGTGGCAAGCAGAGAGCCAGAGAGTTGGCCATCCACTAGTGATGGATTGAGCCTGGCAGAGGCTGGTAAAATAGAGCGTTCCACTTGACATACAAGAGCTAGGACTGGAGGCATGTGTGCGGGTAATGGCTAGGGGTTAACATGTCACAGTTTCTATACCCAAAGCTCCCAGAGTTAGATGGAGGGATGTTTCTTTTTGTCCACCATCAAGAAGGAATCCCCCCTGCCCGTGTCTGTCTGTCTCTCCCCCTCGCCCTCCTCCCTTTCTCCCTTTCTCTTTCTGTCTTCTTTCTTTCTCTCTTTCTTTCTTTCTCTCTTTCTTTTTTTTTTTTGAGGCAAGAATTCTTCGTGTAGCCTTGGCTGTCCTACAGCTAGCTCTGTAGACCAGGCTGGCCTCGAACTCACAGAGATCTCCCTGTCTCTGCCTCCTGAATACTAGGATTAAAGGTGTGTGCTACCACTTCCCTGATCTATGAATCCATTCTCTTTGCCGAAGCTTGGGAAGTGGAGTGGGGGATCAAGAGGGGGCCACCAAGTGTGTCACCTGGCTCTAAACTCATAGAGGGTAAGCAAGCATCTCTCATCTGCCATTCTCTTTATCCTGGGGGCACACAGGAGGAAGGCACTACTGCTTGTCAAGAGAGTCTTGGCTCTGTGGCGCCTCTCAGGAGTTTACAGTGTAATTGGGAAGATTCATCCCAAACTCCTAGGCCCTCAGTAAAGAAGAATGTGGGGATTCTGGCAAAGGACAGAGGTGGGAAGAGCTATGCTGGCTGACCCTGATGGAAAATCGACATGTTGGGAGAACATGTTCAGAAGCAGCAAAGGCTCCGTCTCCCTGACATCCTTTGAGGTCAGAATGACTGTCCGGTTTGTAGACAAAGTCACTGAAGCTTGTGGGAATCTGTTGAATGATTCAGCCTTTGTAAGCAGCTGTGTAGACTACCATGAAACACAGGGACTCTGGTCCCGATTCTGGGTCTTTCCTCAGCTTTTTATTAGGTTTTTTTTGTTGTTGTTGTTGTTTTTGTTTGTTTTTTTGTTGGGGGGAGAATCTAGTCAAAAAGCCTGGCAGAGTCAAAGGCACCAATGGAAGCCAAGGCAGAAGAAGTTCATTAAAGTTACTTTTTGCCTCCAGGTAACAAGGCTTGGCCATAAAGATTTATTATTTTATTGTTCTTATTAATACTAATGATAGAGCACACTTATTAAATGCTTTTTATTATCATATAATCTACTTAACAACTGTAGGAGATAAATGCTATCATTACCTCCAATTTTCATGATGAGAAAATTGACCTAAGAAAGCTGAGGTGAGGTGCCTGAAGATAGCTGTCAGGAGGTGGAGCCGGGCAGGGCCAGGGTGCCCAGGCCTCTTGCTGCAGAGTCTGCCAGGCTCGGCCTGTATTTTAGCTCCCTGTCTGGCTGGGTTGAGTGGATTTCTGTAACAAAAATCACAGGGATTGTCTTTCCGAGTCTAATGCTGCCATCTTGCTTAACAAATAGTATGTGGTGCTGTTAAAAGCTTTACAGGGCAGAGTTGAGTCCTTCTGCCGTGAGCAGCTATGGGGGTGAAATGAAGGAACCCAGGGCATATTGAAGAGGCAGAAAACCAGGCTCCCTCAATTTCTATGTGGAGCACTTCAGAAAACCCAGAGGGTTCTGCAATCCCTCCTACTTTCCCCCACCCCTTTTCTGACAACAAAAGAGAACAAACTAACCAGAAGTGATAGTTTACAAAGGGTTAACTCGAATCTGGGAGGCTGTGTGGAATTAAAATAATTATTTGAGAAATTTAGAAATGTGTGCATACTCACACAAAAAGGAAGTAAAAATTGCACAAAATCCCTCCATTAAAGGAGATTACCTGTAGTAGGATGTGAGAGGCATCTGGCCTGCTCTTCCAGCCCCATCTGCAGAGGTGACTGCTGTGACCCATGAGGAGGGTGAAGGCTCCCTCGGCATGTCCTGTATGCCTCTCAGCCCCTCCTCCACTAGCTTTCTTGCTCTTTGGAGCCAGACTCTAAGGTTAGACTCAGGACCCTTGATGTTTCCAAGCTTAAATACAAGACCTGGGCTATTCAAACCAAAACCAAAACCAAAACCAAACCCAAACCCAAAACCAAACCCAAAACCAAAACCAAAACAAACCTGTTGGTTGGAATAATAATTCTCCTCCTCCTCCTCCGCCTCCGCCTCCTCCTCCTTCTCCTCCTCCTTCTCCCTCCTCCTCCCCTTCTCCTTCACTCTGGCTCTCCAGAGTCTGGACCCTGCTCTCACCTCAAAGCATGCATGGGTATCAGATTCATCTGCCAAGGACACTGCTTCTAACATGTCGTTTTCCTTCTGGAAAAGCTTTGATGATTCCTTATCATTTGGTGAGTAATTTAGTTAGCTGGCGCTTACAGGCAAGCATGACCTACCTCTTAGATTCTCATATGCACTAGTACTTTCTGACTCCAAGTGACAGCCCATCTTTGGAGTTTGTCTGTCTATCTTCTTCCTCCCCATTCTCTGCCAGGAATGTTCCAGGGCCAGAACAAAACTGTTTCCTCTTTCTAGTTTAACTCTTTGTAGAATTTAAGAACAATGGGATATAAAGTTCCTTGCTTTGTTCACCTG